CAAATATGTTATGAAGCTCATGATCTCAAAACATAGGTTCATGGATACTTATCTTTATATACACCATTTAATACAATCTCAAGTTGACCTAATTAATTATTTTTTAAAGATAAAAATATTTTTATTATATTAAATGACATTTACATTAGACTGGAACCCTCATACAATAAATAATACACTAATGAACTCAGATGTCTCATCAATAATAATAATAATAATAATAATAATAATAATAATAACATATTACTTATTTATAAATGAATACAGTTCTTAAATAATCACAATACACACACAGCAGATAACAATGAATGGAAGTGTAAACAGGCACACAATCAAATAAGCACACGTATTCAACGATCATGCATGGTTCTCAGAGCTTTGGCGACCATTTCTGTTGTCTGCTAGCCTTTGTGCTAAAGAAGGTGGTGGCGACTTGTCACAGAAGGGCCAGCGCCGCCGGTCCTGCTGCTCGAACGTTGTTTCCCTGATGCAGGCTCACTAAGTGAGGCCTCACCGGTCACCGTGCCCTTCTTGAACACCTCATGGACTTTGATATCTTCCTCGATCGACAGGGTCGCCAGTTGTTGGCCATGGGGTCCTGGAACGACAGTCTCGTGGACATGCGCATAGTCCTCCACGTCCACGGCTTCGCTTTTGGCGGCCATCTTCTTCTTTCTCTTCTTGATGCAGCAAAACAGTGCCGCCGCGAGGAATGCGAGGAGGAGAAGGCCGCCGAGGGAGGCGAACACGACGATGATAACGGTGTGGTTTGGGCTTGGTGGCGGAGGCGCCAGTGGTGGAGGACGGACGGGTGCCGGAGGCGGCTGCAGCGGTGGCAGCTTCGGCGGAGGCGGGACCATCTTTCTTGGCGGTGGTGGTGGCGCTTGCTTCGGAGGTGGGGGTGGCGGGGGGCTGCGGCGAGTTGGTGGCGGTGGCGCTTTCTTCGGAGGTGGGGGTGGCGGTGGTCTACGGCGAGGTGGTGGCGGTGGTGCTTGCTTCGAAGGTGAGGGTGGTGGGGGGCTCCGGCGATTCGGTGGCGGTGGTATGGTCGGGGAAACCTTTGGAGGAGGTGGCGCAAATGGACGCGGTGGCACTCGAGGCGGGAGGAAGGCCATTATGTTTGAAGAGACTCGAGGACAACTGTGGAGGGGATGGAGAGAGAGGATGGGGTGTGTGGGTATTTGTAGCATCGATCGAGAGGTAACAGAAGAAGAGGGCCCCATTGGGCAGTAGGTTCTCAAAAAACTTGACTCTCATGCTAAGGCTTTGCAAGGGTGGCTTGCAAACAACTGTTGCTTAGGTTGAGCATTCTTGGCCCTTTGTGTCCTTCGACATGAACTGGCTGCCATCTTGAGCATGCTCTTTTGCTTAGGAACCCCAGAACAAGATTTAGAGCTTAAGGGTGTTAACACAAGATAAAAAAAGGAAGTAAGAACAGACACTGCATTATACAACTTGAGGTACAGTGGGGAAGCTGTGCTTGTCATATAGGCTCTGGGGACTGCTTATGATCTGTTGTTTTTATGGGAGAACATCTTCTTCATATTAATTCATTTCTTGTATTTATATGTTAGCTACTGGTGACTTATCACCAGTTTTGATTCCTGGGAAGGTCTTTTTCTCAGAATAATCTATAGCTAGCGATGGGGAAGAAGGGCCATTATCATGCGTGAAACCTAATTTTGCTCAGCCAGTTTTCAAGCACCTACACTTATCATTTCCTCGACTCCAAGATTGTCTGACAGATACTGGAGAACACAATGCTTGCTTCACAGTCCATGTACTGTCCAATCATCACGTGCAACCGGAGTTCATTGCACATATCTGATGTACTTAACTATGCTCAGCTTGTGCACTGATGTGCAGCAGCAGCAGCAGCAGCAATATCCAAATGGAAATTTATTCTGGATGCATAAGTACATTAAATTCCTAATAAAAGATGTGGAAGAGCATGTGTGCTTATGCAATTCACGTTCCTGCTGTCAGCATTTGGAAGCCACCGTTGCAAAGCCGTAGGATGGGAGTGAAGTCTTTTGCAAACCTATTGCCCAATTGCCACCTCCTCTTCTCGATCGATGCTACAAATACCCACACCCCCCATCCTCTCTCTCCATCCCCTCCACAGTTGTCCTCGAGTCTCTTCAAACATAATGGCCTTCCTCCCGCCTCGAGTGCCACCGCGTCCATTTGCGCCACCTCCTCCAAAGGTATCCCCGTCTATACCACCGCCGCCGAATCGCCGGAGCCCCCCACCACCCTCGCCATCGAAGCAAGCACCACCTCCACCACCACGCGGCAGACTCCCGCCACCGCCACCAACTCGCCGCAGCCCCCCGCCACCCCCACCTCCGAAGCAAGCGCCGCCACCACCACCAAGAAAGATGGCCCCGCCTCCGCCGAAGCTGCCACCGCTACAGCCGCCTCCCGCACCCGTCCGTCCTCCACCACCGGCGCCTCCGCCACCAAGCCCGCACCACACCGTTATCATCGTCGTGTTCGCCTCCCTCGGCGGCCTTCTTCTCCTCGCTTTCCTCGCGGCGGCACTGTTTTGCTGCATCAAGAAGAGAAAGAAGAAGATGGCCGCCAAAAGCGAAGCCGTGGACGTGGAGGACCATGTGCATGTCCACGAGACTGCCGTTCCAGGACCCCATGGCCAACAACTGGCGACCCTGTCGATCGACGAAGATATCAAAGTCCATGAGGTGTTCAAGAAGGGCACGGTGACCGGTGAAGCCTCACTTAGTGAGCCTGCATCAGGGAAACAACGTTCGAGCAGCAGGACCGGCGGCGCTGGCCCTTCTGTGACAAGTCGCCACCACCTTCTTTAGCACAAAGGCTAGCAGACAACAGAAATGGTCGCCAAAGCTCTGAGAATCATGCATGATTGTTGAATAAGTGTGCTTATTTGCTCGCCTGCCTGTTTACACCTCCATTCATTGTCATCTGTTGTGTGTGTATTGTGATTATTTAAGAGCTGTATTCATTTGGAAATAAGTAATTCGATCCTCATATTCAATTTGGATGACTTTTACATTCTTGTGGCTACCATCAAGTGATTCATTTAGGGCATGACTTCGAGTCACGATATTGGTTTTGGATGGTCGTAGTTGCAGAACCTGCATATAACTTTAATTAAGAGGTGGCGTATTGACTGTGGTCATTGGATCATTTAGAATGAGCATCACAATACCATATTCTTCATGTGTTAAACATAGAATAAAAGGAGGGGATATATATATAATATATATATATATACAAGATGGTTCCACTATATTCTCTAAGACTAAACTAAATAAGACCAAAAACACTACTCTCTCAGTCAACTTAAAGTTTCAATTTCTTTTCTTCCTATTAACCTTAAGAGAAAATTTATATACCTTTATCGTTGAGCTAATTATATATTACCTTATGTAATTAGTTACCTTTAGCATATCAATCTATACACTTTCAAAAGTTATAATACGAGCTATATATTTATGAAAATAAAGTATTTAATCTTGTTTCTCCTTATACTATTGACTCTATTGATCGAAATATCATATATGCTTAGCGATAAACCGAAGTGAGGCATAATCAACATATGTTTGATCGAAATATCATATATCTTGTTTTTCCTTATCTTTTGCCTTCTCCTCCCCTACCTTTACCTCTTCCACCTCTACCTTCATCTCCTCTTCTCCTTATCCTCTCTACTCCCTCCTACTATTATTCTCTTCATTGTCTTCTCTATCTCTATTCTCACCTTTGCTTCATGAGATTTATCGAAAATTAATCTTGTTATAATAAAAAATGAACTGAAATGCACTCGATCATAAATACGATCCAAAAACATATCAAGTTCAATAATTATCTTAAAATCATAAAAAAAATAAAACTCTACTAAATTCCTTATTAGATTAATGTTATAGTGGACTCGTGGAAGTTTCAAGTCATTTAGTAGAAATTGACTCGTAACATTCAAAAATAAATTAAATAGACTCATTCAAAAAATATGATAAATTTTACAAGTAATTATCCTAAAATTATCATAAAATAGAAAAACTAGTATAATCCTTGTTTGATTTATGATGTAGTAGAATTATGAAAATTTAAAATCGGCATGTGAATTTTATAGTTGAATGTTTTTCGATTCAAATCAAGTATATTTGTGTGAAATTTATCTAAAATATCACATGCTTGTACATTCATGCCCACGTATAATTATAACAATCATTCCCTTTTTTTTTTCATCTTTTGGAAGATTTTAGAAGTATTATTTTTTGAATTTCATATGTTTTGAGGGTGATTCTATAGTTGAGTATATTTCAATTCAAAGGCGATTCTATAGTTGAGTATATTTCAATTCAAAGTTGAGAGTGTTTGAATGAATCATATCTTAAAACATTTTAAAGCTTGTATATTTACAACTAATAATGCTCACTTTTAAAATAATTTTGGGAGATTTTAGAAATATAATTTTTTGAATTTATAAGTATTTTAGAGAAGGAAAATGAAGAAGCAAATAAAGGAGAGACCAGAGGAGAAGAGTGAGGAGATAGACAAAGAGGAGGTAGAGGGGGAGGAGACGAATAAGAGAGAGAGGATGAGAAAAAGAGAGATGAGAAGGAGTCAACGAAGGAGAAATTTTTTTTGAATTAGTTTGGATCGATTCAAGAAAAAAAAAATCTAGTCATGTAAAACTAAATTATTTAATAGAACGAATAAGAACATAATTTTTCATTCGTAAAAAATGACACCTCTTGGTAATTTCTGAAAAGAGGGACGCCACCCCATAAAAAGTAAATAATGAGATTTTTTCGATAATTACCTATATGATATTTTCTTAAATTAGATAATATTCTATTTTGATATTATGAATGTGCCAATATATATCGATTCGATGAGAAAATGGCCATTCTCACAAGTGTGAAGCTCTCCATTTCACGTATAACGACGTCACCATCGATCAATGGGTTGGGTGTTTCCGATTTTACCACGACCACCGTGGTTAGTGACTCCGGTTAAGCCACAACCTCCAAACGTGTCGAAGCCGCCAACTCATGCGAACCCCCCGCCAGCTCCACCTCTGAAGCAAGCGCCGCCAGCCCCACCTCCGGGCCAAGTGCCCTCAGCCCCACCTCCGGAGCAAGCACCACCAACCCCACCTCCGGAGCAAGTGCCACCGCCCTCACCACCGAAGCAAGCGCCGCCACCCTCAAGTCCGGGAAAAGTGCTACCAATCCCACTTCCGGTGCCAACGCTGCCACAACCACTTCCGGTTCCAGTGTTGCCACTTCCAAATCCGGGGAAAGAGACGCCAATCCCACCTCCGGGCCAAACGCCGCCACCCCCACCTCCTGAACAAGTGCCACCTCCGCCACCCCCGTCACCGCCAAGCCCACCTTCGCCACCCCCACCTCCGCCACCCCGCCTCCGGAGCAAGAGCCACCACCCCCACCTCCGCCTCCGGAGCAAGAGCCGCCACCCCCACCTCCGGAGCAAGTGCCGCCACCGCCACCACCTCCATATCAAGTGCCGCCACCTCCGCCCCCACCAAGAGTGCCAGCTACGCCTATCAGTCCTCCACCACTGAGACTGCCACCACCCGAAACCAATCCACGGAGCCCACACGACGCCATCATCATCGCTGTATTCGCCTCCCTCGGCGGCCTTTTACTCCTAGCGTTCTTCGCGGCGGCCGTGACTTGCTCCATCAGGAAGAGAAAGAAGAAGATGGCCGCCAAAAGACAAGCTGTTGACGCGGAGGACCATGTGGATGTCCACGAGGCTACAGTTCAAGGACCCCATAGCCAACAACCGGCAGCTCCGACGTCGATCGACGACGATATCGAAATCCATGAACTGATGGAGGAGGGCGAAGTGGTCGGTGAAACCTCACGCAGAGAGCCTGCGGGGGATGCAACATTCGAGCGGCGGGGCCGGCGTCGCTAGCCCTTCTAAGGCCGATCACCGCGACCTTCTGGAGCACAAAAGCTAGCAGGCTATTGTGTGCTCGCAAATCAGTGTTACGTCTATTGTTGTTATTTTATGTATTAATTTGCGGATAATAATACTTGTTTCATTGGCTTCTTTGTGTGTTTCATTGACTGCATTGTCTATATGTTTCTTTCCCGTCGCCAACGTTCTATATGATCCAAGTCGAAATGCCAAATTTACTGCCTGCACTTGAAGCTTCATGGTCTTTGTCTAAGAAGGACCGATACGGGAAGAAGAAGAAGTCACGTATGTTTCACACAGGTAACGTCCGAACTGGATCTACTTGCTGTCGAGGAGTCAACTTGAGGTAACGATGACTAACGATCTGAGGCATGTGGATCCCTGATCTGGATCGTCAGTTGTTCTCCATCACTGCAGCGCGAATCGTAAAGTAAGACATTAGGAGTTTCTGAGATTCGTGCAGAGGCAGTTCAAGGGCGTTGATGCAGTCGATTTTTTTTCTTATTTTCTTACAATTTTAACGGCATGGCCAGGTGGCATTTTAGGAGTTTAACTCACGCCTTACGTGGCGACGTACGCCGAGAGGGGCGTCTCAGAAAACTGTCCCTCCTCGCCTTTTTATTTCGCTTTTTTGCATAAAAAATAATTGAAAATCAATTATTTCCTTTTGATTAGAAAAAGCAAAAAAAGGGGGATCATTAATATTATCCATCCTAATATCGATGGATGACATAAATTAAATACATTTAACACTGTGATTTAAATTCAATCATTTTATATCCACGATTAAATTTTTAAAGACATAATTAAATATATTAATTATTCTAAATTTGATATTGATGGGATTCTTACATATAGTCAGTATTTAACGCATTATATAATATAGATAAACTACATATAGTCATTATTAAAAAAAATTAAATCCAGTCTAGAAAATATCTATTTTTTGAAAAAAAATGGAAGCGGCCCAATTTTATTTGTAAATTTGCAAATCATTTTTATTTAATTAATTTTGAGGCAATATAAGAATCGAGAGGGAGAAAAAAAAAAGTTGTGAATCACTTTTGAAATAAACATATTTGATGGTAAGGAAAGGAAAAAATAGCAACTATTGGAAGCCTAAATTTAAGGGGATTTCTGATAAATAACCCAAAGAGTGTGGTGGTCAAACATTTTGTGCTTTCCCTAGAAATCACATTTTTCTTATTTCTTTGCTCTTCAGCTTATTTTATGATTTGAGATTGAGAAAAAAAGAGAAAGTTATAAATCACTTTTTATATATTTGATTTTGAGGCAATGCAAGAATTGAGATGGAGAAAAAGATAGAAAGTTGTGAATCACTTTTCAAGTCAAAATAAACATTTGATGGAAATGAAAAGTAAAAATGTAGGATCTTTTAATTTTGTTCATATTTTATATGTTGAAGACTTATTGAAAGTTTGATAGTCCTATTTTAATTAATTTTGATAATCGTTTTAGGTTTGTAAAGATAAGTTATGTGTAATCGTTATGCAAAGGCTAAACTACCCAGAAATAGATCATCTAAGTAGTATTTTGAAGATTTTTCTAGCTCCACAAAGTGGTGTGGAGTGTCAGTTAGTACAGCACATAGGAGCTATCTGGGTGGCACATAGTTGGATGGGCCTTTAGGGTAATGTCTAGGCTAATTTGCTATCTTATTTCACAGTAATATCATATGGGCACTTGTGGGGACTTTGTGTTACGGTGGACCACCTTAGACACTTTGTAAGCTTACAAATTTCATATTTGTAACTTGCATTGGGTGTTTGCTAAAATTGTTATTTATAGATCTTGATTTAAATGTTATATCAAACTTATCTTCTCTTTTATAAATCCTTAAGAGACCATAAGAGATTTCGAAAAGGTTGATCCTTCGTAGACGGACACACAAGAGTGCTACACGACTTTGGCAAAACCAGCTAAGTTTGTGACATATGAGATCAAAGCGAGACAAGCATACCTAGAAATACTTAGCATATAAATATGGAGGGACCTAGCGAGACTATGTAGAGGGAAACTAGCACACGCAACCGTTTGGGGGAAAGCAAGCACATAGACATAGGAAAAGGAGTTGCTCAAAGGAGTGAGCATCCACGATTATCATTCAAAAGAATGAGTAACCCTTTGTGTAAGAGGTACCATGAAAACAAGCGAGTTATAAAGAACGTATAGCGCATAAAGGTTGCGATAGTTGAGTTCGAGCTATAATATGATGTTGGTAATCAAACTTGATGGGTTGTGCTCAAGGCAAGTGAGGTGCATGATAATGGATGAGATCGTGTAAGATGGGATGGGTTGCTTAATGACTGAAAGAGATGTGCAAAGCTCACAGAAGTGAGGAAAATTGATAACTCGAAGAATTTGGTACTAATGCAATGGCTTATATATGAACAATAGGTTATTCATGGCTATCCCAAGGCAACCGAATCTTGGTACCATTGAAACTTTCTCATCAACATGGAAAAAATACGTTTATAGGAGGTTGAAGTCTTCATCGAGTTTAATATGTTGCTAAGCCTTGAAAGGCACAATTGAGGCTATATTGGTGAAGAGTCACAATTTAACAAAGTGCATTCGTAGGGATAGAACAGCGCACAATTTATTCAATAAGGCAGAGTAGTTCAAGGGGATAGTGATCCTTGAAGCTTTAAAAGAGAAGGATGCAAAGAAAGTTTTGAATCTCGAATTTTGATGATGAAACTAATTGATGTGTTTATGATTTGATTTGTGTTTTGAGTGACGTAGGAAGCTTTGATCAGGGATAGACACTTAAAGCATGAAGAATCATGTTGGGCTAGAGTATAACATGTCAGAAGATTTAACGTCGAGTCAAAGGATAGGTCAACGTATCAGCAGAAGGCTTCGGGCCATGGGTTTGGGCATCAGGACAAGAAGAGCAAAAATTGCGCTAAGGAAATCGGAGTTGTGGAGGTCAACTGGCCGATTGGGTAATAGGTCGCAAGAGAGGACAATGCGCTGAAGAATCAGACGAAGTGTCGATGAACCAATGATATACCGGATAATATTTGATTCAAGTTTGTAATAATTATTTAGATCAAATTAGGTTTTAGGTGTAATTGGGTTGGAATTGGGCCAACTCAATTAGAGGCCAATTGGGCCCAAGTTTAGGTTGTGTTGGGCCAAGTGAAAGGCTCAAACAATGACCCAACAGATAAAACCATCGGTGGCACAATCTCCGAGACTATATCAGGCGGTGGTACCGCCCAGACTTAGTCTTTGAGACTGTCAAGCGGTGGTACCGCCAGTATGGGCGGTGGTACCGCCAGTATGGGCGGTGGTACCACCTAGACACAATCTCCCAAGCGGTAGTACTATTAGACTGTGTGGTGGTATTGCCCAACACAAGCGGTGGTACCGCTAGTATCCCAAAAATCGAGGATGAGATATTTTTAGGCTCCAAGTTTGAATCCACTTGAGGCTTATAAATACCTCTCTCATCCTTGGTTAATACACACAAGCACAAAGAGCTTAAAAGTGGAAAAACATCGTAGCAATCAAATGAGAGATCCCCTCATCTAGTTCAAAGTTTAGAATTCTATTTAGCGATAGTGAGTACTTGTAAAAGGTTATCTCCTAAACTTGTGAAAAGGAGAAGAGGGGTGTAAAAGAGTAGTTGTTCTTCGTTCATTGAAAGAAGATCGGTAGTGGAAGCCGATAGCCTCGAGTGAAGAGGAATCGGGAGTGGATGTAGGTCACAATGACCGAACCAATATAAAATTCTCATTTGCATTACCTTCGTGCTTTTTCCTTATACTGCAAATTGAAGTCTTACTTTCACTATGCTTTTGTAAGCTTTTAAGTTAAACATCTTTCGGATATGTTTTTATCGTATGAAGATTTTTGACTCAATGTAATTTTACCACTACACTTATTCCCCCCCCTCTTACTGTTGACTTGATCATAATAGAAAAAAGTTGCTCCAATGGGATTGATATCTAAGATGGATAGGTCTCAATTCTCTAGAAGGAGAATCATGTGTAATGGACTGCACATGTTAAGAAGGTATACCTTAACACAATAACTCCACAAAGCTCAACGGACCAAATGAGCAATAAGGAGACATCACATGATCTCACATGAAGTAATGCATTGGTGGATGCATTGTAAGATCAAATAGAGGAGCGACCCAAGGTCAACACCAAACAAAGACACATAGAGTCGATATGGAGATTAGACTCAACATAGGGCTAACCTATGGAATAGTGAATGCGAGGGCCATCATCAACACAATGAAACCTAAGGAGTGGAGTAACTTAGATGGAACTTAGTAAAGTGCTCAAGCCGTATAAAGGGATTGACACAGAAGGTGAAACATAGAGTGGAGGCACAAAACTTTTCTTCGATAGATGTCAACGGCATAAACTCTTGTAGAGTAAGAATGAGATCATTTCATTCCATGGGTCTCTTATTTTGATAGAGTGGACTCAACCTATATAGTGTCAAAGTCGAAGGAAACTTCGAAACACACACCTTATCTCGGTGAAGTAGTTGACTGATGAACTAACGTGACTTAACTTATGGAGGCGAAGCTAAGGTCAAAAGGCCTTAGTACGAGGCAAGAGGACAAGAGGCAAATAGTCTTAAAGAATATGCTACAATGTTACTATTCGAGAGCAGCTAAGCAACAGACTATTGTAGAAATATTCTTCATCCGGGTGTGACCCGAGATCAGGTGGATGAAAGTCGATTACTAAAAGAGCAAACATAATCGTAA